TTGTCTGGGGGTGGGGAAGGGAATGAAGGGGGTGCTCTCAGCCTGGGGCGGAGCCCTTCCTCGGATCATCTGTGAAGCCCACGTGCCTCTGGACCCAGAATGAGGTATAAGGAGCAGAGGAACAGAAATCATCATCTCAGTGAGCATTTATTGAGCACCTACTGAGTGATGTGCTTTATATTTTGTGCCAGAGTGGTTGTGTGTGATTGCACGTTATACACTGTGCAAGGGCCCCTGGCCCAGCATTGCTGGGTTGAGATCTGGAGGGTGAGGAAGCATTAGCTGGCAGTGGGCACAGCTCGTGCAAAGGCCCTGAGGCAGGACCAAGCCTGGCGTGTGGGAGGAACAGCGAGGGGGCCTGTGTGGCTGCAGCAGAGCGAGGGAGGGGGACAGAGGGAGGAAGGGAGGGCAGGGAGGGGAGGGGGTAGATTGTGCAGGGCCTTGTGGGTCACATGAAGGAGCCCAGGCCCTGCCCACTTCTCACCATAAGAAGGAAAAGGATTTCCTTTTCCCTTGTCCTTATGGAGCAAATAGATCCACAGCCCCACCTCGATGCAGGGGCTGCTTGGGCAGTAATTCTGTCCACAGAGAAGTCTGGCCTGGTGCTCTCTGGTGAGGTATCTGGCCCCAGTAAAGGACGAGTGGTCCCCCTGAGCCATCCAGTCCAGGTCCCCAGGCAGCACCTCTTGATGGAGATTGAAGGAACCACAGTGGGCTGGGGCGCCCCGCCTCGTGAGCTCTGGGGCTGGGGGTGGGGGCTTGCCCTTCCCTCTGGAATTTTTGGTAACTCTTCAGCATCAAGGCACTCAGGGCCATCTGCAGCCATCAATGCTCCCCTGACAGTGGGAAATCTGCTGGGGCGCACCTGCTGGGGACATGAGGTCACGGCATGAGTTTGACTCGACTTTCTACAGGTACCAAAATGTCCTGAGTGGGTGGCCTTAGCCTCATCTTGAAGAACTAAGGGTCCCTCTTTTGGGTGTGACATGATGCAGGGAAGAGTGTGTGTGCTCTGGTGGCCACATGAGTGGGCTGCTTTCCCAGCTGTGTGTCATCCTTGCTGTGTGACAGTGAGCCAGTGACTTAACCTCTGGTCTGGTGAAATGGAGGAACAGACCAGTTTGACCTTGGTGTTATGAGGCCGTGCTCTAACCAACAGAGCTAGCTGGCCAGCCCCAGACCAGTTTGATATTGGACTTGTCTGAGGCCAGGCAGCCAGCAAGCCGCAGAGTGCAGATCTGGACCTTCGAGGTCTGACTCCAGACCCCACGCTAGTGATCAGCCCCCTGTGCTGTTGCCAAGTTCCTCTGAGCCTAACGGACCATGGCGTGTGTGTGGAATTAGGTCCTGGTAGAGGCTCTGACCCTTCTGTCCGGAGAAATCCGTACATACGTGGAGATTTACCAACATCTCCAGGAGTCTCCCCAGCTAAGTGTCTCTCCCCCATTCCCCTGTCTCCATTTCCCTGATGGGGCAACTAGACCCAAAGCCAGTCTCCCTTTCCACTGACTGAGGGCTTGGGGGCCTGGAAATGAGTTCCCTCTATGTTGGGGCCCCAGCTGGGTTCTGAGCTCTGTTGGTAGGCGGGAGGGAAGATGGAAGAGGGTGGAAGAATTGAGAGCCACCAAGCCTTCCTTCCTGGGCCTCCTCTCTGCTCACCCAGCCCTTCTTGCCAGGCTGGTCTCCCGGTCTGAGGCCTCTTCAGGATGGAAAGATGTCCCATTCACCAGCGGCTCCTTCTCTGTGTCAGTCTTGAGGGTCCCCCGTCCTTCTCTCGCTAACTACTCTCTCTGGGCCAGTGCTTTCATCCATCCATCAATAGGTACTTATTATCCATCCATCCACCCATCCATCCATCCATCCATCCATCCACCCACCCATCCATCCATCCA